ACTGGAAGCTTCCTTCCCACATAGGTGAGTGGGGGAAGTAATGCTTCACTTCACCTTCTTTTTTTTTTTTAAGAGACATGTTTTATTTATTTATTTGTTTGTTTTGTTCATACATGCACTGGGTACAGTCAGAAGCGCGGGAGGGTGAGAGAATTCACCAGAGCCAAAGTGGGGAGCAGAGCAGGCAGAAGGACCGAAGTACACTGCTGAGGGGAGCAGCGGGCGGCAGGAGAGGTCTGCGCACTTCACCTTCTTATGGGCTGTGGTGTGAGTGAAGAAGGGGAGGAATGCAAGGGTTCCTTAGTGGAGAGTGGTCTTTTAACATGGATTTGGAAGTATGGCCCTAGTTATTTCTTAATACAAAGGACAGTTGTTAGAAAGAATACTGCAGGATATGACGAGACCTACTATACTACTGTGGATAAGAACATAAATTTCAGAAACAGACAGACCTGGATTTAAATTCCACCTCCAACATATACTACTTTAGGGACCTCATAGAGGTCACTTAACCTCCTGGTCTTTAGTTTTCCTTGCTATAAATTGGGAATAAAATTACTCTTCCTGGCTCATAGACTTGTGAACTAAACACCAGCACTGAGGACATAAAATAAACATTCAAAAAAGTAACAAAGTTTTCCTCTATGGCAAGATAAAATCAGAAGGTAAATTTAAATCAAAATATCAAAGAAGATCCTGATATGAATGTTCTATGAGGTTTCAGAATAAATTAGGAAAAGAAGTCTGTGGAATAATTTTTCCTGGAAATCTCTAAAATAATTTTGTTTCTCACTTCCTATGGTAGTTTAAATCATCTTTCCATTGAAATTGGAACTAAATAATTTCAGGTTTGGAAGATGTACCTAAAAAATAAATCCAAGTTAAGAAACACTGTTTTTTGTTAAAAGCGATTTAGTCTTTTCTTGAATCTAATCTTAAATGCATATATGTCACTTATAGTGTCTAGCAGAAATGTGTATGAAGGGAATTGAATGGGAAGGACAGGCTGCTGGGGAATCACATCTGTTTCGTACATTTCTCACCATTTGCCTTGAATATATTTATCTGCTTCTTCTTTACTATACCTTTTACTGTGGCCAAAATGAAAAAGTAGGGACATGTGGTATTGCTACTTTCTTGGAACTAGCCAAATTAAAAGTAAGGTCATAATGGCCTAACTTAGAAGCAAAGAAATATGACCTATAACCATGAGAACCCCCTGAGTTATAATGAAACATTTTTTTGAGTCCAGAGAAGTTTCATTTTAATCAAGAGATTGATTTCAACAATGTTATATATTTAACTAAAAAATGCAATCAGGTCATGTTGTATAAGCTTACATAATATGTATGTTTTAATAGGTAAAAAGAAAAATTCCCAAATTTTTGTGGTCAAAGCCCTTTACAGAAAGTTGAAAAAAACAGAGAACACCTTTAAAATAAAAAAGCATACTACAGAGGTTTGAAAAGGGATGATAATTTGTGATATCATGGTATAAATAAAGAAATTAATCAATTGGCCAATCAATGAGTGTTTGTTGGAATACTACTTATGTAGAAAGTAGAGAGGCTGGGGTATGGGAATGTGGATAGTATGGAGGACTATAAGGCACAACTTTTGTGCCTTATTAAGATATAATAATATGATGATTATAATGACAGGCACAATTATAAAGTTACAGTGTAGAGGTGCAGGTCTTTCAGATTTGGGCATCTGTTCTGTACACATCTTGAAAGCATACGTTTCCTTTCTTCTGAGTATTCTAAACTGACCTTTTTTTTTTCCTTTAGCCAGTTTTATCAGAGTCTCTGGTTGAAATTCCATACCAGGCAACTTTCTGTGTCCCAGCCTTTAAGGATCACCATGTCAAGATAATCATGTTTATCAGAAGTTCTAAACCTTTCTGTGCTCAGAACTACTTGGGTGTCATAGCAAGATGTGGAATATGCCCTTCTGAGTGTCATAACTGAGGTTTCTGAACACTCTTTTCTGTCAATCACTGTTTACACATCTTCAGATTATTTATAAGCACTGACCCACTCCTTCCTTCATGCCAAGAGATTGCCAATTCCTACTAAGATTCTCCAGCCAGTGCGATTTATTTTGTACTTCTTTCTCAACTCTTGATTCTCTGCCCATCAATACCACCTTTTAGCTCTAACATTGTCTATATTGGCCAGAAGTGGGAAGAGTGTTGACCCAAGTATGGCCAAGGAAGGCAACATGAAATCAGACGCGAAAATAGGTACATATAAAATTTCCTTCTAATCTCATATATAAATGAAATTCTCAGATATTAGCATGCATCAACATCATAGGGACACTCTTTGAGAACCACTGCCACATATAAACTAAAATTATTTCCACATAAGCAGTAAAGGTCATCCATCTCACTCTGTTCTGTGCCAGGGAATTGTTAACTTAGCAGTCCTTGGAGATCCTTTGATAGGATTCTAGGAGTCCCTGGTAACCCACAAATTCTATTTTATATTACATTAGCATGCATAAGATTACACATAGATGCTTGAGAGAAGTCCACTGCTCTCAGAAGACATGGTGTGAGGATCCTCCACTGATGCCATGCGGAGAGGCAAGTCAACACATTTGAAGTGACACTGATTAGAATGTAGCAGGATAAGGGCTTTATAATTAATAGAGCCATTTGTGTAACACTCCTGTTCCTTTCATGTATTTTTGTCACTACATTGACCTTTGTAATCAATTGCTGCATTCTTTTATGATTAGTCACTAACTCCCAAAAAGGTATAGATCAACCAATCAGACAAAAACCTTAGACAGAGCACCTGTTATAGGCCTGGCCTGGTGTTGGCTCAATTGTGGACCTAAAGATTACAAAGTCACTGCTTGCAGGTATCTCCCAGTAGGAACACTGACATCCACTTTTAAGACCCATGAGAGTCAGAACTTTGCCCTTCTTGTGCCAAACTCTATTATGTGTGTCTAGAAGAGTACCTAGTAAGTCACAGAAACTCAACCAATGATTATTAAATGAATGAATTCAAGAACTCAGGGGTCTGTACTGAAAATGTGAAAAGATATTACCAGATAAACAAAATGTCCACAGTGGCTAATGGGACAAGGTCCTTGTACACAGAGAGTTCTGCTGAGTAAGGAAATAAGGGACTCAACTAATAATGTGTGTTAAAGAACTGCAAACCAGTCGCAGTAGAGTATACAAACTGGAGTTTAAATATGACACAGTTGCAGATCTTTACACCAGATGTTTGACCTAGGAAAGAACTCAGTCAAAAGCACTCAAAAGCTAGGCTAAGAAGATCACCTTACCACATCCTTATCCTTAACAAGTAACAATGTTGACAGCAAAGGAGTCAGGAAACTAAATGCATGAGTCTATCCACAAAGATTCATCATGAGCCCTTCAATAATTGTGAAGCAGGCAAGCCCTTACCTAGATTTCAAGCTGATGAATCATCTGTCTAGTTTCACTCAACCTCAAGGGGCTGCTGAGCTTTGTAAATCTAAAACCCTGTCAACCTCCAGATGCATTTAAACAAGGACAATGTGTTTAAAGGAGGCAGGTTATAAGGTTCCCTGAGGAATCCTTATTTTCTAAATAAAGTGCATTCAATCCTCCTTCAATTCAGGAAAAGAAGGCTTTTTGGCTCAGAAAACCTAAGAAAGTTATTTTTTTAATTGGATAAAGATGTTGACTATGTCAAACAAATAAATACAAGCATTAATGATAACCTCTATTCCACCATCCATTTATTGAAACTGAGATCCCTCTATTCTATCATTTCCATGGAAGCGCATGCACACACACACAGCCTCATACACATTAGAAGAAAAAAAATTCCTCTTCTTGGGAAACACCTGTCTTGGAAGTTCTTGGTTCTACAGCTTCTGAGCATACACAGGGTCGAGCATACAAATGGTGCAGTGACTCTTCTTGAAGTCACATTTGTCCCTGAAACTTCAGTCACCTGGAGAATGGATGCCTCATTGCCTGCAGCAGTTCACCCTGACTGTGTAGAATGAGTTTAAAAAATCTCATTTGAACAACAGCATTTGAATTGAGAATTTAAACAACACAATATATTTAATGCTGAAATAATCATTCTTTGCAATTTTTGCTGGCTGTGGAATTTTGTCCTTTTTTTTTTTTTGCCATTGAGTTGTTAAAATAGACCTGCTTTGGTTTGAATATTTTTGAGGGAAAGGAAGATAAAAGAACACAGTAAACTAGTACATCACTGAGCTGCACATTCCCACTTTTACATGTAGAAAATTTCTCCTTCTTTTGCTATGCAAACACACAGACCATTCCTGGAATTCCTACTACATTCATACTCACTGCTTTCAGACACATACTCACACACTTGAACCAAGACACAAACTCCCTACATGTCAAAATCAAGCCAGGCTGAAGATGTGAAGAGGTGGATATGGCACCAGGTGGATGTGTAATCAGTAATAAGAAATACATCGAGCCCCATTATGAAAAGAAATCCCCCAAATTGTTCAGGATTCCCCCTCCCCCTTCCATCACTGATTTATTAACCCTGAACAAAGATGTAATTGCAGGGTCTCAGAAGCAACTTTTTCCTTTTTTTTTTCATTTTTTGCATTTTTGGTTTGTTTTTGGCTTTGAATTTCTTAATATCTAGTCGTACCATTCATTGCCTGTTTTCTTCACTTAGTTGCCCATCTTTTTCCCCCCAAAAATGAAAGAAGCATCAGCTTCTGAATGTTAAGGATGAGACCTCTGCATTTTCTTTGCTTGTTTAGGGCAAGAAATGAAGTGCTGCCTCTTTAATTGGCAGAAGCATGCAGGAGGAGCATACCTTTAATTTAGTGTTGGGATACCTCACTTGCACCCTGGCTGTTGTCTTATTGGAGACGGCAGCCTGCCTGAGATCCTCTAGCACTGAAATAATATCATCCAGCACGCATTTCTTATCCTGATTTCTCAACACACACAGATGGGAAAAAGTATAATTATAGCCCTTGTGGTTCACCTTCATTTCCAGCACGGCACGGTGGGTCTGCAGGATCCCCTCAGCCTGGAGCAAAATATTGTCCCCGGGTGGGGAGAGGAGGATCACCCTGCCATACCTCCCAGGGGTGTGTAAGTCCGAATAGAGCTGGCTTTTGGACTGGTCCAGGGGGAAAAGGCTGCTGGCCAGGCTGCGCTCGATCTTGGCCAGGCTGTGGCTGGGAGCGACCAGGCGCTCCAGGTCGCCCTCGGGCTGGAAGCGGTTGAGCGCGCTGAGGCCGAAGGTGATGGTCAGGACTGCGGGCACGGTGAGGAAAAAGACCGGGTGCCGGCTCACGCACAAGCCCAGCCTGTGGCAGAACGACTGGAGCCCTCTGCGAAGCACCTGCCGCAGCATCCTCCACCAGATCCAGCTCGCAGGCGCTCCCGGCCGTCTTAAAAAGCACATGTGACATGTGTAAGCGCCGGGCCACCCCTTCTCCCCCAGCCCACCCCCTCCGGCCAGCCCCCCTTCCCCACCCCTGCCACCTCCCCACCCCCTCCGTGCCCACCCCCAACCACTCCGCCGGGTCTTTCCCCGCCCCACCTCCATGCGCTCCTACTACTCTTTCAAACACTGCAGCAAGTTGCAGCAAGGCGGGCAAATATCGACAGCGCGCGTGGGGGCGGGCGGCGGGCGCTGCGGGGGCACCGCGGGGCCCACCCCTCCCCGGCCTCCCCGCGCCCTGGCCGCCTCCCGCGCCCCCTCTCACCGCATGAGCTGGGTTCACTCGGTCTGGCCCTTCATCTCGGTGCTGCAGTCCCCCGGCCTCCTCGCTGGAGGTGGTTCCGTGCGGAGCGTCCCACAGATGTGGATTTCCTCTCCGTCCTGGTGGGGTTCGGTGCCTAACTGGAACCATGTGCCTCGGTGTTGTAAGAAGCAGACATGTGCCCCATAAGGCGGCGGGGGGAGGGGGTGGAGGAGGGAGAAGGCGGGAGCTAGGGGAGGGGGGGCAGCTAAGCTTTTCTTTTTTTAAGATGCTCACAGTTATTTTTAGAGTTTTGTTTTCCCTCTTGCCTCCCCGCTGGAGTGAATGGAAGAGGATATGGGTGACGGCGCTGCTGGCCCATTGGAGCCGGGGCAATTAGAGCCCAAGTCGGGGGAGGGGGCGTGAAGGGAGGGAACTCGAGCTCCTGGGGGCAGGCAGTTTTTTTGTCCCTTGGATTTCCCGGTGTCCCGAAATTCTGCTTTTGTGCCGAATAAAAGCAGAGAGGATGATGCTGCATTTTTAACATACCACAAAGCAAGCAAGGGATTTCCTTGCAACACCTTCCATGCTGTCATTCCACAGACTGCGACCTAGTATTGCGAGAGACCCCATTTGCTGGTGGTGTGTTGGGACTACAGGGATCCCTTCCTTGTTCTGGTGATTGGAGAGGACTCATTTGCCAATAGTTGTTGCTTGTGGCGTGTGTGTGTGTGTGTGTGTGTGTGTGTGTGTTTTGAAAGTGAATATCTACAGGCAATATGTGGTTTGCATAAAATGCCACATTCATTTTCTGACTTTTGAAGTTTAGAACAAAAAGTTCTTAAAACTGGTTTTAATGCCTGCCCCTCCCACTTACTCCCCCCCCTCCCCAATTTTTTGCTTTGTATCCACCCAAGACCATTTCTGGACATATTCTGAGATGAATGTGGGCTGAGAAAGTATCTGATTTTGTCCTGTGAATGGAATTCCAGAAAAAAACACTTTGAGACACCCATCACATCGTTTTTACCTGATTAAAGAGGACAGAATGAGTAGGTAAAACACACTGGAGTCACATGCTGTGTGAAACAATGATACTTCTATAGGAACAAAAAAATCCCAACAGCTGCAGTTCTCCCCATCAGTTGCCAAAAATGTGAAGGTAAGGAGCTCTCACGTGCAGATCAGACCAAATTCAAAAAATGTTAGCATTAATAATTGAATGTGCGTGTGTGTGTTTTACATTTCACCTGTCGGTGATTTACAGATTCATATTCTGGAAGGCATATGAAGAAATTTTGAGGACAAATTTTCAAGTTCAGTTTGAACTAAAGACCTGCTTTCCAAAGTTTTCTGTTCTTGCTGTATTGACTTCAGAGAGAAGATTGAGTTTCAAGAGATGATTCATTCACATTTTCTTAATAATGGTGAAAGGGCCCATTCTTTCTCATATGCTTAGAGATGTACACATCTATGCATACAAACAAGCTGAAGGACTCATCCTCCATTATTTGCCTTTTATTTCTGCTAGTGCAATCGATTCTTCAGTTAAAAGAGACTGAAGATTCAGCAGAGAGTTCAGAAACAGGGGAGATGCTTAAGGGCAATAATCTAAAGGGTGTTCCGGACTCAATAAAATAAATCAAAAGTAAAAAAAAATTGGATGTTTCACTTATAGGGACAATATAGGGGACCCAAAAAAAGGATCAGGAAAAAAATAATAATAAATAAAAAACTATCAGGCAACTATAAATCAGAGACATTCTACAGGGGTGGGGGAGGAAGAGGGATCAAACAGAGCAGGAAGAGCACAAGGGACTATAGTGATGGTTCATGGGTGACTTGGTGGTGGAAATTTTACGGACTACACTAGATAAGGGTGCTAGCCAGATAGCACCAGATAGGGCATCCCTATCTGGTTTGTGTGTGTGTGTGTGTGTGTGTGTAAATTAAAAAAGGGTGTTGCTGAATGAAGACTAAAGGAAATTCTTTAAAGAATTGAAAGTGACCTTGGTGACTGTTCAGTTTGAGTTCCTATTGAGGGCAGGAGTAGCTTCTATAATATCCCTGATGGTTCTCTATTCAGTTTATGCTACAAAATTCTCCATCTCTAAAAACACATTTATTTTTCTAGGAAACTCAGTCTGTTGTTAAATAGTCACCTTTCCTTGTGTTTTGCTGAAACTAAACTCCTTGCAATTAGAGTTCCCTTGGAATCCAACTGTCAGAACTTTATGTCATGTAATGTAATGTATTCCATTCATGACACATGATATGAAATAGTTTTGGCTTTATAGCAAAGAGAGAATGTATTTATCATCCATTTTCTATATCCTCATTATACTAAGTATACTTGATCATATCTCTACGTGATAATTTCTAAGAAATAGTCTTTTTTTTTTACAAAATATAGAATAAAAGATTTTAGGAATAGACAGTGTTGAGCAAATTACTCCAATTTGTAAATAAGCACTCTAGGAATTATAGAAATTAAGTTACTTCAAGGCTATACACGGAGTTATTTTATGAAGATCACTTTTTCCTCTATTAACCCTCTCCATTTCCCACAGCTCCCTCCCCAGTAAATTCAGTGGGATTAGGGAAAAATAAAGACCAATAGATCGTTCACTAAGCAATGACTGATACATTACTAAGATGAACTACTATGATGTATATACAAACCATGTTATAGAATTATAATGACATGAAAACACATTCACTAAATTTTAAGTGAAAAAGTTACTGTATGAAAACACTGAAAAAAGTAACAGCAAACAATGATGAAATCTTCATTAAGATTTTCTTTTTAGGGCCTCCCCGGTGGCGCAGCGGTTGAGCGCTGGGTTGCGAAGCTGCCTGCAGCCTTTGCAGCCGGTTCGATCCCCGGCTGCTCCCCGGCCACCAGAGGAGGGTCCCACATGGCGCGCAGACCTCTCCTGCCGCCCGCTGCTCCCCTCAGCAGTGTACTTCGGTCCTTCTGCCTGCTCTGCTCCCCGCTCTGGCTCTGGTGAATTCTCTCACCCTCCTGCGCTTCTGACTGTACCCAGTGCATGTATAAACCAAACAAACAAACAAATAATAAATAAAATAAATAAAATAAATAAGACATGCCTCTAGAAAATTAAAAAAAAAAAAAAAAAAAAAAAAAGATTTTCTTTTTATTGCTAGATGTTGATATTATGAGGGACTTTTTAAATAAAAACAATTTCAGAAAATTTTAGGTTATAGAAAAGTTGGGAAGATAGCAGCACATAGAATGTACTTACACACCATACAGGTCCCCAATTACTGTGGCGCATTTATAATTTGTGAACCAATATTGATACATCCATATGACATAGCCAAGAGCCCATCTGTGCTTTATTTAGATTATCTTGATTTTTACAAATATCCTTTTTTGTTCTAGGTTCCCATCCAGGATACCACATCCCATTTAGTCATCATGCCACCTGAGACTCCTTTTGGCTGTGACAGTTTTGCAGACTTTTCTTATATTTGATGACCTTGATACTTTCATGAATTACTGGTCAGGTATTTTGTAAAATGTTGCTCAGGTGGGAACTGATGGTTTTCTCATGATCAGACTGGGGTTAAGAGTTTAAGGGAGGAAGATCACGGAGGTGGAATGCCACTTTCATTATATTATATCCAGAGTACATTTTATCAACAAGATTTATCACTGTTGCAATGAACCTTGACCTGCCTGAAGTAGTGTTTGTCAGGTGTCTCCACTGCATAGATACTCTTCCCCCACCCCTTATCCCTACTCTCCTCTTGGGAAGAAAGTCACTGTGTGCAGCCTAAACTTAAATTGAAGTTTGCGTAAATAAATTAATATACATGATAATATTTGTCCTATTCTATCCTATTCTATTCTTCATATCAGTATGGACTCATGGATATATCTAGATATAGCTTTGTAGTTAGGGTTATAATCTAAATCTGCAGTGTTTACTTTGTTACTCAAATTGTTCCAACTTTGGGCATTAGGAGATCTTTTCCATTGACTTCTGTATCCCTTTGAAATATCCCATTACTTGGCAGTGTTTTTACAGTGTTTAGGAATAGACAGTGTTGAGCAAATTACTCCAATTTGTAAATAAGCACTCTAGGAATTATAGAAATTAAGTTACTTCAAGGCTATACACGGAGTTATTTTATGAAGATCACTTTTTCCTCTATTAACCCTCTCCATTTCCCACAGCTCCCTCCCCAGTAAATTCAGTGGGATTAGGGAAAAATAAAGACCAATAGATCGTTCACTAAGCAATGACTGATACATTACTAAGATGAACTACTATGATGTATATACAAACCATGTTATAGAATTATAATGACATGAAAACACATTCACTAAATTTTAAGTGAAAAAGTTACTGTATGAAAACACTGAAAAAAGTAACAGCAAACAATGATGAAATCTTCATTAAGATTTTCTTTTTAGGGCCTCCCCGGTGGCGTTACATACTTTCAGGTATTATATGATATTCTAGCATCATCTTACATCTTTTCTCTTAGAAGCAGCCATTTCTCCAAGGGGCCCTGGTTCATTTAATTGAAGAATGGTGTTAGAAATACAGATCTGTGTGCTGTGTGTACTGTTTTGCTGTTGGGGTGTTACTATTTTTATGCCTTCTCAGACAGCTGACAACATGGCAAAATATGGGACTATAATATTCTGTGTCTATGTGTCTATTACCTAGAAATAGTTCTTTTTATAACTATATCTATATTAATGTAAATATGAGTTTACACTTGCCTCCAACAATAATCTATTACCCTGTGGATCATTGTACTCTCTCCACTTGCTTGCCTATAACACCCATCTGCCAATGAGAAACTGGCTCTGTGGGTGATTTTGAAATCACTTTTCTATCATGAAAATATATTTATTTTTTATTGTAAAAATTGTTTAAGGGAAAGAAGAAAAGCATGGTTCCTTAATTCTGATACTGTGAAAAGCTGATGTTAAATGCTATTATGGATTTGTTATTAAGACAAATTATATGCTAAAGAGAAAGTAACTGTTAGCAATATTCCAGATCAACCTATAGAAAGTTAATTTGCACTAAATTATCACCTTATAAATCTAATTTAAAATAAAGCTTAACATAAAAGCACTGTACTTATAGGCCAATCAGTAAATATCTACGTTGTTTAGTTCATGTAAGATTTGCCTTT